CATGAACCATTAACATTTTAAAGGTTTCCTAAGACATGTTACATCCTTCTTTAATGCAAAATAGACTCGCATTACTTTAATCAAATAAGGAAATATACAAAATAAAATAAAACTTAAATCACCTATATATTCTTTCTCATTTATCCAACTCTACCACTTTTACCGGTAACCTCAAAAAAAAAAAAAAAAAAAAAAAAAAAAAAAAACTCTGCTAAATTTTTAGTATATGTGTTTCCAGTACTTTCTATGCTTATCTCATTATGAATCAGATAGAATTTAAAAGAGATATTCTTGAACTCATACTTCTAAATCATTTTGCCTGTGTATCAGATTACCTTTCTCTGGCATGAACATAGTGCCACCCATTTTGATCATCTACTGACATTTCCCCCAGTTATTAATATTGCAAATGAGCCACATATATCTTTTGATCACTGTGAAATTTTACAGGTACACCTTCAGTGGAAGCTTGCTTCTGAGGTTCCAGATTTCAGATACTATTAGAAATGGTCATTGTCTCCCAGAGAACATCCATAAACTGCATGTATGAAAATACTTTGATAAGGAGGTAGATTATCCAGTGAGACACAACCATGGAACATTTGAGTTCAATAGACCAACCCCAAGAAAGTGCTAGAAGAAGTGAAAAGAATTCCAGTGGAAAACAATCCACCTGTTATTTCAGGAGTAGGATTCCAAAGTCAGAAACACTAACCTGAGGCAGCAAGCAATACAAAGAGGAAATGGAAAGAAGGCATGGTTGAGTCGAGCTAGGGCTCCAGCAGCTCCGCACACTGTGTTCCAGCCCTTGCTGGCTGGCTTCTAAAGAGTCCACATTGTTGGTGTGGCGTCACCATATGAGACCACTGTCTCTAGGCACCATGTACACACTTCCTTGATCTGTGATGCAACACTCTCTCTGCTTAGCACTAAAGCTCCAGCAAAGGGATTTACTTAAGCCAGATTGGGGGGGAAAAAAAAAGAAAAAAGAAAAAAAATGTGATCCAGGGGTCTAGAGATGGGTGTTTGGGGTGGGGGTTGGAGGTGGCAGCATTAGTGGGGGGACTTTTCAAGAAACGAGCTCATTTGGCTCATTAAGATTCTAAAGGATTTCATTTACTAGTGACCCCACCCACATTGTGAACCCAGCCACTAGTGAACACACCCTGCTTGGAGTGTTCATTCACCCAGGCTTAAAATCAAGAGCTACAGTCTCAGATTGGCAGAGGGCTTTCGAGATGCCCAGCAGACCAAATTAGAGATAAAATTAGAAAACAGCCTGAAAGTGGCCAAGAGCTAGCTGAATGTTATGAAGTCCAAGTTGAAACCTGGGCAGTAGGAGGACCAGATCTAAGAGTTCAAATGGCAAAAACCTGGCTGCTTGGAGAGTTAACATAGAAATACCTGGAAAAGGCAGCAAAGTGGTGACCTCCAAACTGACTGTGGGCTGTGGATCATGTTTCTATACTAATAAAGCTCAAAAATGTGTGGCTCAGTACCATTTGGTTGTCCCAATACCTTACAGCTTCCAGAGTTCCTACCCCCTCCCTACCACACCCCATTGCTTCTCACAAATCCATTCCAGGCTCCTGCAGGGAGTCATGTTTGCAATCTCTGATTTAGAGATTTCAGTCAATTGCTGTCTCTACAGGAGTCAACTGTTGCCATGGTTACTGGAATAGGATTATGCAATCTCATGTGTGTTCAACAGAAGGATAATGTTGAAAGCAAGGGATGCTGTGTTTGAACCGGACTTTGACCAGCTGTAGATGGCTCATTGGCTTTAAAGAGTGGCATCTACAAATGGTCAGGAAATGCTCACATGGGGTGATTCCAAGCCATGTACTGTGAGGGCTATGGAAAAAAAAAAAATTAGACTTATGAGGAAGCTTGGATTTGCACTTTTGCCTCTAGCTCAACTGAATATTCCTTAATGAAACTTCTATTCTCTTGTATTTTGGGTTTTTTTTTGTTTGTTTGTTTGTTTGTTTGTTTCCTGTTGTGAGCCTTGGCCTTTAATGGCTGACAATAATTATAGCTTCAAGGCTGTGTTAGTTTCCTTATTATGCTTGGACTAGTGTAACACCCTAACTCCCTAGCCCCACCCCTCCCCTATCCACATCCAATTCATTACACTTCCTAAATGTTCTGAGTTTGTATACCAGTAGGAGGACCCAAGCATCGTTATCTAGTGGTGTCTGGACAAATTACCTGCCTGCCTTCCCCACAGGTGCGGTCTCCCAGCTGCAGTGTGTCTTCTGAGCAGTGATTTCTAAGGGGTACGTGCACGGCTCCCCCTTGCCCTACCCTGATCCTCTCTCTCCCGTGTGCCGCATTCACTTCCTCCTCCCAGTTCTTGCTTAAGAGCTATTTGGCTCTTTAGATTCCTCTCCCAAGTCTTAGCATAGTGTGTCACGGGAAATCTCTCCTCTCAAATGTCACCTCTCTAAGAGGCCTCCCTTTCTTGTCCCTTGATACCTTTTTCTATGTGACTTTCTAGTTTTATGTAGCATCTTAACAATTAATAGCAAACCTACCTAGAGCTTAAGTTCCTCATCCAGAACTGTAAATCCTAGGTATTCTAGGCAATTTCTTTCCAGGTTGGATCCCCTTGCCCTGAATAAATGTGAATGGACTAGCTTTATAATCCGTACTAACTCCCCTTCCCCGGCTCTGAAGATCTGGCTGGTTTAGCCCAAGTTATTTCTTTACGTATCATGAAGACTATTTCCTTGTTCAGCTTTCAGGCCCAAGGACCACACAGAGAAACTTCCCCAGTGTCCCCACTCAGTGTTGTCCCGCCCTTGTCATTTTACCCCATCATCCCCTTTTATTTCTTTAGAGCATTCACCACTAGCTCAAATTATTTTTCCTGTGTTTGCTGTCAGGCTCTCCCGTAGCACTTCAAGATAGTTCAGATTGTGTGTGTGTGTGTGTGTGTGAGTGTGTGTGTGTGTGTGTGCGCTCGTGAGTGCGTGTGTGCGCGTGCATGTGTGCGTGTGTGAGTGTGTCTGTGCATGTGCGTGCGTGAGTGTGTGTGTGTGCGCGCGTGCGCGCGCGCGTGTGTGTGTGTGTGTGTGTGTGTGTGTGTGCGCGCGCGCGTGCGTGCGTGTTGAGGGGGGGAGGAGCCGGGCAGGGGTGCTATTCATTGCAGTGCCCCTGATGTCCGATGTCCATATCAGTGCCTGGCAACCACTAAGCATTCAAATATTTGTTGAGAGCTAAAAGGCAGGCTTCACCCTAGTGGGAGGCCTCCATATCTTAAACAGGAGAAAATAGAGGCTCACAGAGTTTTTTTCTCCCATTTCCTAAGGTCCCACAGCTTTTTAGGTATAAAACGAGGATTGAAATCCAACCTGACTTCAAAACTGATGTCTGTGTGTGTCCTGGCCCTTCTTCCCTGGATGGACTTTTTTTTTTTTTTTTTTTTTTTTTTTTTTTTTTTTTGTAGACAGAGTATATGCTTCAGGATTCTGTGACCCACCGGAAGTCACAGCCTCAAATGTTTTAGCCTGTTTCACATAGACAGACTTGCACACAGAGAGACACATGCAAACACAAGCACACATTCCTATAAATAAAATGCCTCTCTCTTCCTGACATAAAATTAATCACAGCCAACCACGTATTTGATTGAATTCAACAGAATTAAGATGCAAAACCAATCACTGAAAAGTCCTGGTAGAAAAAAATTTCTCTTTTATGTATCATTCATTCCAATACCTATATTTTCACCTAGAGGGAAACCAGACCTGGAAAGGGCTCCAGCCCATGGGACCAAAGCAGTTCAGTGTAGTGCAAGGCCCTACAGTGTGGGCCAGAGCTTATCTGCATCCAGAGAGTCCAGCATGTTCCCTAAGGTCCATTTCTTGGTACATTAGAGTTTCTACTTCACCTGAATCCCATTGTGAGGCTATGGATGGCACCAGCAGCATTCCCATTTGAGAGTTGAGAAAGTAAGCACAAACAGGCAAATGACTTGACTCAGGTCACACCACCAGGCTAGAGCAGGAGCCCACCTCAGTGTTACACATTTTATTCCTACCTCCCTCCTTTCATTGTACTGAGTTTTGAACCCAGAATCTCAGGGGTGTTACACATATACTCAACCCCAAGTCATACTCCCAGCCTCTTGCTCCATCTAAAGTTCTTCTCCAAGATATTGAAGCATACGGACCCCATGTGTCAAAATTATCAGCACCACCCGAGACCTGCGTATTAGGTCCCAAATGTACTGTACTGAAATCAGCGTTTGAACAAGGTACTCAACTAAATGCTATGCACTTAAATAATACAAAATACTGATGGCGGCTACAAACACAGGAAGCAGAGGAAATTATGCACCTTTTATTGGCTTTCCAGGGGCTTTCTTTCTAAGCATCCAGTTCTGGAGGGCCGAGGGGGTGGTGAGACTGACCAATAGCCTAGTGTCTGCTGCCACCTTGTGGTCAAATTCTCATTCTCACCTACATCAGATTTGAGCTTCATAAAATAAGTGCAGAAATAATGTTTGTGCATGTGGTCCAGGAGCTGAACATTTTAGCCTTGTGCTTTAAAAGTCTTCAAGGAAATCCCAAGGTGTAATAAAATACCCCTTTCAGTGACCACAGAGACAGTCAAACAACATTCCTCTTTGTACGTGTCCCGTGGAACACCGTTCCCCTGCTTGAGAAGTCTAACAGAAAAGCTCAAGACACAGAGTCTCACAGAATTCACGCATGAATGTCTGAATGTGATTATCAATTACACTGTGACTTTTTAATTCTGAATGTGCCTTCCCAGTGTTGTATTTCACAAGGTCTTATGGAATTTCCCACACTTATGTCACATGCGTCACTGGAGGCCTCTGAAGTAAAACACAGCCAGTCCCATACCTGGAAGAGAAGAAAATTCCAAAAATTAGGCAGTGCTCTCGGTCGGTCATGGGATGAATTTGTTTAGAAGTTATTAGCTCAAGAGCTAAAGAAAGCTGAACGGTTATCATGGGTGAAACTGACAGAATGGAGTATCCCCAGTTGTACCTACCTAAACCCCTAAAGCTTGTCTATGGGAAGATTGGCCAGTACCGAAGAATTCAGCAACCCAAAAGGAAAAATGGCTCATTCAAAGGGAAGGGGATAGAAAGGTAAGTAACAAAGACTCATTTCCTTTCCCACTGGCACTTTGGGGGTTTTCACTGAACAAGATTCGTTATGATGACTGGAGAAGGTGGTGTCTCCTTTAAAAAGTATAATTTGAAGATCCAGTCTGTATGAGTTCCGGGAAGGAGGAATCGCTGCATTGATTGGGATGTAGAGTGCTGTCCAAATCATGTTTGGTTATTAAAGCCTCTATCTTAGCAGGCAAAAAGGCTTTACTGTCCACCCTAATTTGAGTTCTAATGTGTCTTATGTGATTAATGTCAGTATTAAGTTGATACTTTTTCAATATCAGTATTTTAGTCTTCTCAATATGCAATTTGAAAATATTAGTGCATTCTATATACATCTACAATCAATGCTCTCTGCTCCCTGCTAAAGCAAAGTTTGCTGTTGATATGCATCCTAATCCTACTTCACCACTGAACACTCTTCAGTGAAACTTCAGAACAGCCTCAGACCTGGGATTTCTTGACAATGACAAAGCCATAAAGAAATATATATAGTCCTGGGAGCATGTCACATTTTAATTTTGGAATTCCGTTTTGCAATTCAGTTTCCATTGTATTTAGGCACCTCCATAGCAGACCCAAAGGGCACAGCTCGGAGAAACAGGTCAAGCTTGCTCGGAGAAACAGGTCAAGTTTCTACACTTGCATGTATAAAGTGAAATATTGTATAGCTGTTCCCTTCCACTAAGAAAGCAGGGTTTAAGGGAGAAACAAGGTGAGCAATGAGTCCATTATTAGCAAACAAGAACAAAAGCAAACAAAAAACTAAAAAAGCAGTGTTCCTTTCTGTTCCTGACATCACAGAAGTTCTTTTCCTAGGTCCTGGAGCAAGCTAGCGCCTCTGATCATGTTATATAAATCAGCAATGATAAAGGCTAGAAGACACGGCATGGGTGTTTATTTGCGGTTTCTGAGGCTGGCTGTCTCTGTGACAGCCCCGGCTGGCTTTGTGTACAGTCCTCCTGCATCTGTCTCCTGCTTGCTATGACAGATTTGTGCCACTAGTGCTGCTTAAAGCAAAGTTTTTGCTTTTTATGTTTTCTTCCTTCCTTCCTTCCTTTCTTCCTTCCTTCCTTTCTTTCTTTCTTTCTTTCTTTCTTTCTTAACCTGAGAGGTTACATGGAGGACCTTCAGGATCTACGGACATCCTGAAATGTATTTCTATTGTATGTGAGAATAGCTACATACATATTTATGGCAGCATAAGTTATTAAAACATTAAAGCTACTAAGAGTCTCAGGCAGGTCTTGGCTGACAGGTTCTTTGGATAAAGAAGGAAATGGAGCATCTCCTCGGGACCCTTTATAGCAACAGACTCAGGGTGCTTAGTGACCCCAGAAGGTGCTTATTTCCTTCCTCGTCTTTCTCCCAGATGGGACAGGTCCATCACATGAAATTGCCCTCCTTTCCCCTCTGGAATGTGCTTCCTTGTTTTATCCTCAGGCAGAAAATTTGTCATATATTGAAGGCTTCATTAGGAGCCAAACTATTTCTTTCTATGTTCAGATTTTTCCTAAGATGATTCCCATTTTCAAATGAGAAAACTAAATCTTGTAATCAATTAAATCAAAAAAAATCTTGTAATAAATTAAAGGGTGTACAGTCCGAGGGCAAGTCTCTGAGACTCATACTCAAACTCCAGTGACCACACACCCACCAGAATCTCTTCCCAATGACGATTGTCTCTGATGCTGCAGATCTGTTCCTACTCTAGAGCAATGTTTTGCTGGAAGGTGATACCTGAGATACATTGGGTAGTATATGACAAACATCTTTTATTTTGTTTTGTTTTTGGTTTGGTTTGGTTTTGATTTTGGTCTTTGGGGTGTTTTTGTTTTGATTTTTCGAGACAGAGTTTCTCTGTGGCTTTGGAGGCTGTCCTGGAACTAGCTCTTGTAGACCAGGCCAGTCTCAAACTCACAGAGATGCGCTTTCCTCTGCCTCTCAAGTGCTGGAGCTAAAGGTGTGGGCCACCACTGCCCAGCACGAGGAACATCTTACTGGTCACTAGTTTCTTTTAACCCAAGTTAGAAATGTTTATAACATATAAACATCATATCATATAATATAGCAAAGCAATGATATCATGATACAGCTGAGATTTTATGCTGAGAAAATGAAGATCTGTGTTCACAGAAAAGCTTATAATTTTGTTCATAATAGCCCCCAAATGGAAACAATTAAAATGTCCTTTGATAAGTGGATGGTTAAATACATCATGGTATATGCATATTGTGGCGTATCGCTTAGCAATGAAAAGAAAGGAAACATTGGCTCCAGAGTATTCTATTAACAAACATGTACACCCTAGAGCTGAGGGTAGCACTTACTAGTTCAATACTAGTCTAGCATTCCAAGGCTGTGCATTCTACCCCCAGCCCCGCCAAACAAAGCTAAGCAGAGACAAACAAACACTAGAAGCTTGAAAAGATATACAGTGCATGGATCCATTTAGATGATATTCTTGAAGGAATAAAAAGCAGCCAACTGGTGTGTGTGGGGGGTGTGGAAGAGTGTGCCCGTTTATGTTAGTACAGAGGGCAGAGGAGGACAGCTGTCTTCCTCATGGCTCTCTGCCTTATGCCCTTGAAATAGGGTCTCTCATACCCTGGCACTTGCTATGTTCCCACTAGGCTGACTGCTCAGCCACTCCCGGTGACCTTCCTGTCCCCATGCCCCCACTAAACATTTTATGTATGTTCTAGGGACCCATTCGGTCTCCATACTTGTACAGCAAGTACGTTACTGACTGAGCCATGCCTCTGTCCCTCAAAGTTTTTATATCATTAATGCAGTCTGTCTCAATTTTTGTTTAGGTGGCATAGAGCTGTGTCTACCAACTTAGCCAAACAAAATGTATTGGTCCCCAATGCTGAATCATTGAGTGAAAGTGACTTGGAGTTTCATGAAAGCCGAAATAACCAGAAGAAAAACCTGATGGAGAAAATGAGGTGTGCTTTTGGGAAAATGCTGCCCTGCAAATGTGGAAACCAGTCAGCCCATGCCAGCAAGAAGAGCTCTGCAGGGCAGAGGGAAACCGCCCTCCCCAACACACAAGGCCTGCTGCCTAGACTTGTCAAGGAGCTTCCATCCCCCAGGTTGTTTACCAAGCCTAGGATGAGAAGGCTGTCACAGAACGGTAACTAACACCAACGGCAATTTAATATTAAGTAGCCAAGAGGAGCAGTAAAATGAGGATGAACTACAGTCTGGATGCTGACTGTTCCCCAAAGGCACTTGCATTGGCTTGTCTCTTTAGGTGTTGTTATCAGGAAGTGGGGTTGACGGGGATTTCCCTAAGTCTTTGGAAACGTGCCCTAGCAAGGGGAATGCAAGATCCAACCAAACTCACTGGCTTTCTCTTTGGCTTCCTGGTTATAAAGTGTGACTTTGCTCCCCATACCATACCCACCACTGCTATTCGTTAACCCTAACAGAGGCCTAAAGGCACTGGCTCTGCTGGGTCATGGGCTTGAAAAATCTAAGACCTGAGCCAAAAGAACCATTTCTCTTCATAGGTCAGTTATCTCAGGTAGTTTGTGACACTGACAAAAAGTTAACCTTCTATGGCAACTCTGAGGATCTTGTATAAAACGTAAAATCTCTGGCTCTACCTAGGTCAGCTGAGACAAATTCTATACAGTCCTCCTCAGTAGGCTCATTGATATATGTATATAACTTACTAAATGTATGAAATTTGAGAAGAAAATAGATTATATTGTTTTTAAGGTTCCTCTGAGTCTGGTTAGTAAATTACCTAGTCATTCTAAACTCACTTTGTTTTTGTTTGTATTTTTCAATGTAGGGTTTCTTTGTATAGACTTGGCTGTCATGGAACTTGCTCTGTAGTCCAGGCAGGCCTGGAACTCACAGAGATCTACCTGCTGGGACTAAAGGCCTGAGCCACAATTACCTGGCTTCTAAACTCACTTTTAATTTAAATGTTTATGCACACATGTGCATAAATGAGGACATATATTAGGAAATCAAACTAAGAATGCTTGCTTTACTGCTAGAGGATGTGTAATACAACCTTTCAATGAGCTAGTTCCAGTAGTAAAGGGTGTACAGAGAATTAGGGGAATGAAAGTTATAGTTGGCAAGACATAAAGGAGGCTTGGTTTTCGTTTATATGTTTTTAAATTTTACTAATATGTTTGCCTGCGTATGTCTGTGCGCCACATGCTTGCTTGATGCTCTGCAGAGGCCAGAAGAGGGTACAAGATCTGAAGGCATTTGACCTACAGACAGTTGTGAGCCACAAAATGCATACTGGGAATTGAACCAGATCCTCTGAAAGGCAGCCAGCACACTTAACCACTGAGATATCGCTCCAGCCCATCATTTACATAATTTTAAAACCTATGTATTTATTTTTATTTTTAGATTACTTCATGAATGCATATGTTTTGGGGTGAATTTTTTTTTTTTTTTTTTTTTTTACCTCCACAAGCCTTTCGTCACTATCTCCCTTCTCCCACAAGCTCTCCTCCTATTTTCATGGTGTGTGTGTGTGTGTGTGTGTGTGTGTGTGTGTAGAGAGAGAGAGAGAGAGAGAGAGAGAGAGAGAGAGAGAGAGACCTGCTGAGTTTAATCAGGGTTGTTTGCATGAACATGAGTGGAGATTTATTTGCAAAACTTATGTTGTGACTATGCCTTTGAAGAAAGTAACTCTCCCTCTCCCAGCAACCATTAACTTCCAGTGACCCCTGTGTGTGTGGAGGCAGGCAGGAGGGCAGGAGCATGATGAGTTCCCCCCTCCACAATGTTGGCGGGCTCAAAGACAATATCCTATTACTCTGTTGGGAAAGTCTATCTGGATACAGAGAACCCAAAATTCTCTACCACTTAGCTGAATCTTCAGCCGAAGGACCCAAATCTGTACCAATCCATGCGCTGTTTTATCTTGATTGGCATACTCAATCTTTCTGCTTAGATTTCTCTTTAAGTGCCACGTACATGTTTTTGTTTTGAGACAGGGGCTTGCTGATCAAGCTAGGCCAACTGGTGGCAGAGCCACAGAGATCCATGTGTTTGAACCTCTCTGCCTTTTTCACAAGTGTTGTGAGGCCTGAACCCGAGTCCTCACACTTATACAGCAAGCTTTTTATAGACAGCTCTCTTCCTAGCCCTCCCTAGATTTATTTTTATTCCCCATTCATTTTAATGATATTTATGATACTGATTTCTATCGAAAGCACTTTTGTTTCACTTACCAAGAAGAAAATCCTTCTTTTGTGGTTAGCTCATAATAAAATGTGTTTCACTGTGACATGTACACACACACACACACACACATATGTGACAGTGCTCCATAAAAGTTTATTTACATGTACAAGCTGTGAGCTACTTAATCTAGCAGGATATTTTTTGTTGACCCTATCTTAAATCAATTCAACTAATGGATGTGAAAAGGAACTTATGTATGCACAACACAAAGGGGAAAATGTACAACAAATATACTCTGAATAACAATTAGTATCAGGGGCTGGAGAGATGGCTCAGAGGTTAAAAGCACTGGCTCTTGTTGCAGAGGTTCTTAGTTCAATTCCTAGCAACCACATGGAGGCTCACAGCAATCTGTAATGGGATCTGGTTCCCTCTTCTGGTATGCACGAAGACAGGTCACTCATATACATAAAATAAATAAATATTTTAAAACTGAGTAAATAAAAAGCTATTTAAAATTTAAAAAAAATTAGCATCAGATTAAAACGTGTGCCCATTTTAAAGATACAGAGATGTGGTACCACAGATTCCATTGTCTAAGGGTACATACCCTGCCTTTCTGACTTCTTAGACTCAATAGAAATAAGTAACAATGGGATAATGAGGGGCACAGGAAAGAACCAAGCTCAGAAGTTTGACAAGGCTAAGTGAATGTCTCCACACAGAGTCACCTACAGAGAGTGCTACTGAATGCTCATACCACTAAGGTTGGGGATGTTGCTCAAAGTGTTGTCAAGTCAGATGTGCAGTGTGTGTTTTATTATTTTAATATAAAGATATAAATCAAAACGAGAAGTTTTTAAATAATTATCCCTCTCTCGAAAGATGCACTTCATAAATCTCTTAAATAATACTCAGGCTTGGAAAAGCCACCTCTGCTTCTTGTCCAGGAGCTGATATACTTTCATCCTTGGTAGTCTCCAACCAGACAAGTGTGGTACTCAAACTCTGACTTCACATTGTTTAGTTAGAAGCCTGTGTTTTAGCTTGGGGTGAAGCATCTGGTACTCTCTTGCTTTGTTTTGTTGATGTTTTGGTCCTTCTACTAAGTGAATTTCTATCCCATCCCCATTAATTTTAGTTAAACTGTTGAATATCATGCAAGCTCTTTGTCGGTTCTTTGTTTTCTCCCACACCATCCGAACTGTATTCAGGAAGACCGTCCCTATGTCAATAGTTTGAAATGTTTTGCATATGTTTTCCTGTAGGACTTTCATGGTTTGGGATCTTACATGATCTTTGATCCATTCTGAATCTATCGTTTTGTATGGGGAGAGCTACAGATTTGGGCTCGTTGCTGTCAATGTAGATATCCAGTTTTCTTGAAGAGGCTTGCTAGTTTTTTGGTGAATGTTTTTGACACTCTTGTTAACTATTAGGCGGCTATAGTTATGTGGGTGCATTTCTGATCCTCCGCTGGTGAGTCTGTTTCTGTCACTATGGCACTGGAGTGTAGACCGAGATAAATGTTAGATGGTTCTGGCTCTCTTTCTGCTCAGTTAGGCCACTTGGGGTTATTTGTGCTTCCATATGAATTTTAGAATGTTTTCTCCTTCTGTGGAGAAATGCTTTCAGAATTTTGATGAAATTTTTGCTGACTCTATAGAGGATTCAGCAATAGGTGCATTTTCAGAATATTAACTATAAAAATTCATTAGCTTGTGTGATGGTTATTCTTGGTTGTCAACTTAACTACCTCTGAAATCAACTAAAACCCAAGCAGCTGGGTGGATCCGTGAGTTGTTTCTTAATTAAATCATTTGAAGTGGGAAGACCCCGTCTTAATCTAAATCTTTTGAGGTGAGAAGATACACCTTTAATCTGGGCCATACCCTCTTGTGGCAGTCTTCATAAGAGACGCAGAAGGAACTCCCCACCCCTTCTCTTTGCCTGCTTTCCCTTACTATGACTGGCAAGTCCATTCCTTCACTGGCATTGGAATAGTCTTCGGGGTTGTGCTGTATACTTGGTGCATACATTCAGCATCGTGGACGGAACAACTGGATTCTTTGACTTTCTGTTGGTAGACAGCCAGTGTTGGACCAGCTGCACCACAACCTGTAAGCCACTCTAATAAAACCTTCACTGTGTGTGTGTGTGTGTGTGTGTGTGTGTGTGTGTGTGTGTGTATTCTATCAGTTCTGTTTTTCTAGAGCAGTGGTTCTCAGCCTTTCAACTTTCTTAATGCTGTGACCCTTTAATACAGTTCCTCGTGTTAGTGACCCCCCAAACATAAAATTACTTCACTGCTCCTTCATAACTGTATTTTACTACTGTTATGAATTGTAATGTTAATATCTGATATATAGGGCATCTGATGGGGTCATGACCCACAGGTTGAGAACCACTGCTTGAGAGACTCCTAATAAATACAGTGAGGAAAGTGAGTTCTTCAATCTATCCTTTAGTGTTTTATGGTTTTCGCTGTGGAAATCTTTCACTCAGCTAAATTCTTATATATTTATTGTTGTTTTTTGTTTATTTATTTGACATAATTGTGAATTCATTTCTTCTTTGGCAAATCTGTTATTGCTTTATAATCACTGAACTACTGATTTTTTTAAAAAAAATATATATATGTATATGTATATATGGGTCTCATATATCTTAAGTTGGGTTTAAATGCTGAGGATGGCAGATATGTGGATCCAGACTTGATCACCTGCCACTGGCTGTAGGTTCAGGACTGTTACTGGGGACTTTACCTTTCCCTGTGCACTGCCTGGCCTGAGCCAAGCTCTCTGCCTGGAATACCCACACTTTTCAGTTTGTCAACATTGCTCCCCTCTGCTCTCCACAACTGCCTCCCAGGGTTGCCTCCAATTTTTGAGGATGTGGCAGGTTCAATTTAGGCTCTTCTCAGAGCCCTGGGGTAGTTTGATTTCAAACAATGATTCCTCAGCAGTGCCCTTGAAATCACATATAGTGGAGAAAATAGAATCCCTCTCAACTGCTCTCTTGTCCATAAAGGAAATCTGTCTCAACAAAACCTACAATGTTTTTGACACTTGTGAGGGCTGTTGGCCTATCTTGAGGGGAGTACCCATTTCCCTTCACCAGGGTTGACTAGGTTAGATTTTGAATGACACTTCTGCTTCCCCTCTCTCATTCCCAATGGGCACCTGGAGCTGGAGCCTGGGTTCAGCTTGGCTTAGTCCTTTTTGGTATATTACCAGCCATTTTCAGTACTTTTTGGCTGTTTTTGTTTGTTTTGTGAATTTCTTCATTGTTCTTCTGTGTCTTTGGAATATAGCACAGTTTCATATTCTAGCTCTTTTCCTATACCAGGTCACATGGAGACAGCTCCTAATTGGCCATCTTACCTAGGAGTCTCTATGGTGTCACTTTATTACTTTATTACATTTTTATTTGTAATTTTAGTTCATGCATATGGATGTTTTACCTGCGCATATGTCAGTATACTGTGTGCCTGGTACCTGCAGAGGCCAAAGAGGGCATCAGATCCCCTGAAACTGGAGATGATTATGTGCCGTGGGTTCTGGGAATCGAACCCAAGTACTCTGTAGGAAGAGCCAGTGATTCTAACAACTGAGCCCCTTCTCCAGCCCCCATTCATTATGGAGCATTATGGCTCCATGGTTTGTGAGTGTGTACTTCTCTTTCAGACCTCCCTCCCCATACACACACAGTAAAATAAAATAGTCTTTTAGAAATGGTGTGTGTACGTGTGCACACGTGTGTTCATGAGTGTGTGTATGTGTGTGTGTTCATGTGGGAGTTGGTTCTCTCTTTCAATCATGTGGGCCCTGGGGTCTGAACTCAGGCTTGGGAGGCAAGTGCCTTTACCCACTGAGCCATCTCACTGGCTCTCTGCTAGCATTTTTATATTTGCCTTTATAATGTCTACTGAGTTGAGACTGAATTCATGGAGGAAAATAATTAAGAATGCTCCTAGTTGGAACTAGTGAGACAGCTGAGTGGTAAAGAGAGCCTGCTGATTTGCAGAACAGTTCTTAGCATCCACATGGGGGCTCACAACAGTCCGGGGAATCTAATAGCATTTTCTGGCCTCTGTGGTCACTATACATTTGGTGCATTTGCCTATATTCAGGAAAAACTTAAAAATAAAGAAATAAAAAACATAAAAACTCATAAACACAAACAAACGCACCTAGATATGGGGCATCCATCTAGATGGTATACGAGTGACTGAGTCTTGGCAGCATTTCTGGAGAACAAAGGTAAGTTTTCTTCATTACACTGATTTAACCCTCATAGTTGAAGGTCCCTTTTCCTAATTCCATCATCGCCAAAGTGAAAACCACGCAGGGGAAAGTGAAGTGTCCAGAAACAGTAGTCACCATGGCAAGACTATGGCCACTACAAGAGGCAAGTGTGTACCGAAAGAGGTCTTAATACCAGAAAAGCAAGTCCACTTTTCATTTTCAATCCCAAGGAAGAAAAGTTTCCAAGGCAGTATAGCAGTCTATAATACCATTTCCCATAATTAGTTTGCTTAGGAAGACCATGTTTGCAATTGTGACCCTCATAAATTCTTTCCTCCTGCTCTTTAAGCAACTATACAGCTTGATGTTGTAGAAGCAGAGGCAGAAGAGTTAACAGGAGAAAACCGGCTCCTCAGAGCCAGAAGAACCACCAAGAGGTTATCTGTGACTTCACTTCCTCCGGGGCTGCAGGAGGTAAGGTGCTCACTTCAGCTTGCCTTGAAAGACCTACACCAACCTGTTTCTTTGGGTCTTGCTAAAACCCAGGTTCTCTTTTACCTTCACTCGCCCGTAGTAACCCTGTACATCTGTTGTGTCCTTCCACCAAGAATTTAAGGCTCAATGAGGGTATTTTTCCATATCAGATCTTTTTTTACCTCTGACGCAACTGTTCAGCTCCTTCCACAGTTTGGCCTACACTACAGTGTGGAGCTTTGTGTGGACTTACTGAATCGTTCTAAGGTTGAAGTCACACACTAGGAATCTGGCCAATCCAGATGTTATGTGGAGGGTGTTGCTGCACAACAGCAACTCCTCAAAGGCATCGTCATTCATCTGATAAAGTAGCTATTAGTCACGTATGCTGTTGGAGAGTGAAATGTGGCCAGTGTAAAGAGATAACTGAATTAGCGTTTTTTAATTTTAATTTAAACTCAAAAGTGAATTAAGTCAAATGACTACATTTACAACATAAGACATTATCATGGTTACATGATCCAGGCATGTCCAGCCTGCAGACAAGCTGAATACTGCCAATAGGAAATTCAAATGTGTAAACTTAAAGCATTGAGGTTTTTTCCTTTCTGTATGTATGTAGAATGGTTTGGCATGTTGGTATGCATACACATGTATGCATGTGGGAGGCAGGGGACAACCTCTGTGGTCTACATCAGGAAATGTTCATTTTGCTCTGGGACTTGGTCTGTGCTCAGGAATTTTGGGAAGGCTGCCTATGAGACTGAGGACTATTTTAAACACAGAATTCTGAACTATTATTATTATAGGCACTTACTTAATGCTGACAGTTCCTGGCTGTTCTAAGTACTTAAAATTTTCTACTCAGAAAATGGTTACAGTTCTATAAGGTATATACTTTTTTCCCCACGGATGACTCTGGGAGTTTGTTTATTTGTAAAAATGAGTGGGAGAGTCAGGTTTCCAATTAAGGCTAAGGGTTCTCATTCATATTCTCTCTTCCACTTTCTCTTTTGTCATGGCTCTGGGAATTCAACTCAGGCCTCATACCTAACAAGCATTTACTGTACTGATGAGCCAGATTCCTATCCCTCCCAAACACATTCTTAACCAAGCCTTCTGAATGTGGGTGTCACCTAGGAGGCCTGTGTGGTCTATGTGACCTCTGGCAGTGGAACCAGTATTTATCCCTAGTGCACAAATGGACTTTGGGAGAACATTCCCCATGAAAGGATACTCTTCCAGCCTAGATGCATGGAGGAGGGCCTAGGTCCTCCCACAAAGGATGACAGACTTTGGCCCATGGAAGGCCTCACCCTCTCTGGGAAGTGGATGGGGGGTGTGATGGGGGAGGGGCATGAGAGGATGGGAGGGAGAGGGAACTGGGATTGATATGTAAAATAAGACTGATTCTAAATTTTAAAAAATACAAACAAAAAAAAAACTGCAATACTATTCGATAGCCACCTATGACTACATTAAATTAGATGGAATTACATGTGTAGCTTCTCAAGCTGAGTGGTGGCGGCACTCGCCTTTAATCTAAGTAAGCATTTAGGAGGCAGAGGATGGCAGATCTCTGAGTTGGAGGCCAGCCTGGTCTACACGGCAGTACAGCCAAGAGCTGCATAAAGAAAAACTGTTTTAACAACACCACCCCACATACATACTCACCAAAAACAAAACAGAACAACAACAACAAAAACCAACTGCATCTTGCTTGTGTCTTTTTGTACTGAACAGCAGATAAACATTTGTACCCTGTAGAAGGTTCTGGAAGCAGTAGTTTTAACTACACTGCCAGTATACAATAGCAACTTTGAGTTTGAGTCTTACTTTAGGGTTGCCAGGTATTTATTGTGCCTTTATGCTAGGCAACTTCTAGGTTTGAGAACTACAGGGAAGATCTGATGGACATGGTATTGCTTTTTATGGAGATTGCAGTCCAATTGAGGGTGAAATTTTTAAACTGTAGTAAGGACAATCATGTATAATGGCAGTAGGTCAAATGGATATATGTATGGGAAGTCTCACATCATAGACCAGTCCGACTCCTGTTGAGCTATAGAGCTAATTGGGAAAGGCAACATATAAAACTTCAGAACAGTAAGATCACAATTTCAGGACAAAGTCTTCTCAGGATATATGGCACTGATAAGACAATAGAAAATTTTGGCTATAGTTAAGGATTCCTGCATACCAAAAGACATTAAATCAGAGGTTGTCAACTGTTATAGAAGGGTTTTATATAGCTTTCACAATGCTTCCCAAATTATGTATGAATTACTTGTCCAAATTTTAAAAGTAGGACATTTCAAATAAAAAATGCAGGTTTACAACTTTCTCTTGAAAAATCAGAAACTTTAGAAACACAATGCTTCAGGGAAACTAGTAGGAATAGAAAAGAGGTGCCCTCCACAGAAGGCCTGTTCTCTCTGGGCCACTGCTCCTCATTCATGCTGGTTTACAAAACCTGCCTCAGCACCCAACTCTGCAACAGTCATACTGAGCAAGCACAGAAATACTTAACAACCACCATTTACAGTAGATGCTTAGTAGAAAAAAACATATGGGTATGAGACGAGTGAGATTTTAGCATGATGTTGTGATGCATTCCAGAGACAAAGTCAGAGGGTCCTGGGTTGAGGCAAGACTAGGCTACAGGGTGAGTTCTAGGCTAGCCTGGGCCTACACAGCAAGAGAGAAACAAAACCCTCAAATGGGCTCTTTAGATGGATCAGGGAAAGTTCAGTATGGGTAGACTGGCAGGACAGAGATGGTTCTACACCTCTTTGAAAGGGTAGGACCTAAACGTGACCCCCTCAAACTGCCCTCGGTGCAGCTGACTGTCACACACAAGGGGATGGAGAATGCAGCCAGCAAGCCTCAGCATCCAGGAAAGGTTTCCCACAAGGAAAGGAAAAAAATGTCAGGCATAGGCATGAAGAATCCAGGGCTTCTTTATGTCTGGACTGCCAGGAAAATAAGGAGACACAGAGACAATGAGCAACTGAATGAAAAATGAGCAACTAGATGCTATGTAATGAGTTCTCTGTGCACTGGGCCACAGTAGCCCAGCACTCCCTGTGCCATAGCAAACTCTTCTTGTCTTTTCCAATGACTTGCTTTTTTGCTGACACTGTCCCTCCTTCCAGAGCCCAGTAGTCTCATTTCTCTGCACCCTACAGGACTCTTAAAAGAGAGCTCTGGGCACAAAGGAAACACATGGGGGTGCAGAGAATATGAATACAGATTTCACCTGCTACCTGACAAACAACTACTCTGTGAGAATGGCCAAGGCTGAGTGTTGATTGGTAGTGTAGAACTGACTGCTATTTCCTAATGGGATGCTTTGCATTTTGACAACAGGTACCATATTCATCAAAAAAGAGACCACATTTTTCAGCACTTAAAAAGAAGAAACAGAGCGTGAAAGACATCCTCCAGAAACCAGACCCGACAGTGGGAAAGCTTCAAATGCAGGTTGTAGAGTCATGGGGTCATGGGCAGACGTCTCTTTCCTGTTTCAGAGGCACCAGACAGAAGGCTTAACTCAACAGCTTGCCCTGTAAGGCAGCATGGAGCAGGGCATAATTATCAATCACTTAAGAAATAGGGGACCTATTTCTTAAGTGCCTAATAAATATTAAGTGAATTCCATTAAAATGAGGCACACACAGGCTTGAGGAGAAATGAGGTCGTCTTACCCCTGTGTGGTAAATCTGTTTTCAAGCTCTGTTTGTTATGAGCTGAATTAGAATACTACTTTGGCACTCTCAGGAAAACCAACCATGTCTTTACTTAAGCAGTTTCATTTCTTTGCATCTGTCATAGGTGAATGACCTCATAGAAAGAGTGTCTGACAAATCCATGAAGCTGCTGGCCCAAAGACATGCTGAGCTTCAGCAGTGTGAGTTTCTAGGGGCTGAAATCCTTCAGTCTTCGAAGCAGTTCCAAAGGCTTTCCAAGAGAACCACAAGGAAGTACAAGCTGAGGAGGGCATGCTTGCCATGCACCTGCTGCTGCTTCTAAGGTCCAAGTACACAGCCTAGCAGCAAAGACAGCCTGCCTCAAACACAGTGGAAGACAAGCAGCAACAGCTGAGGCCGTCATCTGAACCTGCCCATGCTACAGCAGGTGCTTTGCTTCTCACACAAGCATGTAAATATGTCTTATGCACATATGCGGAGAAATAAGTATTGTTAAAAATAACTCCCAAAGAACAAAAAGAGGGTGGAGAGGAAACATTTACAACCACATTTCTCAAGTACTAACAGAGAGAGAGATGCAGAAAAACAATGCAGTGGCAATTCATAATAGTGTGGAACTTTCCCTACCCTGAACACATACCACACATTGATCATGGCCCCTCTAAAGCCTGCTCATGGACTTCATTTTCAAAAGTGGTCCTCATGTCTATCCTTGGCTGGTTTTATAAGGCAACTGTTCCCAGCTACCTAATTTTGAATAAGCACAAAGATCCAGCTTGAGACATTTTATTAAATGTTTTCAGATGTTGAATTCTACCTTTAAAGATAAAAATGCATTTTAAAAAGTATACATACACTAAACATATTTCCTTTGTGAGAAGAAATATGAGTGAGACATGAATTAAATTTAAAAGCAAGCATTTCACTGTCAAAGCTGAAGTATCTCAAAACCACAACAAACTGAACCCCGTGAGCCCATGCAGGTTTTCATGTCCCTGCCAATGGGGACGGGCAGCCCATCTATGGCTTAGGGTCTGCTTCCATGGCACTTTCTTGAGCTTCATCGACCTCTGACAGTTTGTCATCATCTGTAGGCAAGAAGATACAAAACCTCATTTATTGCGCCTACATTTTATGCCCAGTGCATACATGCAAAGTGTTAAAACAAGGATGGCAAAATGACAAGTTATGGCTGCAAATGGCTCAACAGGTAAAGGCACATCTTGTTGAACCCAATGATTCAGGCTGGATCCCGGGACCCACATGGCGAGACTGTCCTTGGGCCTCCACACCCATGCCAAAGTTATATATGCCACCCTCTCTCCAAACACACACACATACACACACAAATAAATGTGATACATTTTTTTAAATATGCTCATTTGTTGTTATTCTTACTACTACTAAAGAATGTAAAATGTATGTGATAGATTTCATTAAAAACAAACAAACCAAAATCTAGATCTTGGTCTTATTTTTTTAAAAAACCAATTAGACATTGGGGAACACAGAAAATTCCACTTGGTTACAGTCACTAGAAAGATCAAGTCTCCAAAATATTAAGAGTACCCTACTTGGTAGCCTAACATGCTGATGACTTACAGTAACTTGCCCATGTCTTGAATCATTAGTTAGGACACACTCCCCATCGCTACTACACATGTGTGCAAAGCCCAGGTTACAACATTACTGCCCCCCCCACACACACTCCAAACAGGGTTTTTCTGTGTAGACCAGGCTGTCCTGAAACTGTTCACAGAGATCTGCATGCCTCTGCCTCCTGAGCACTGAGATTAAAGGCGTGCACCACCAATGCCTGGCTAACATTATCGCTCTTCTGCATGCATATACAAAGTTGAACAAACGAGGGTTTTCTAGTGCTATCTAGCTATACCACTAGATTCTGGAGGCAGACTCTCTAGTCAAGGTATTCTTCTAAAAGATACCCTAAGCATCGAAAATCTTCATAAGCAGTAATTTTGAAGTGTTGTGTTTTACTTACTCTCCAATGTTTGTTGAAGTTCGTGGATGGTACTAAGAAGAACATGAAATTGTTTCCGTCTCAATTCCAGCTGTTAAGAAGGAAAGCAACTTATATAAGTTGGTCTATACACACTCATGTGCATGTACACAGAAGCTAATGGAAATATTCAAATACCTTATCTTCAACACTTTCTTTAATATGTGAGAGATGCTCCAATTCTTTGCCCAGAGCCTCTAGCTCCCTGTCAGGGAAACAACAAAACAATACAATATTATAGTTTGTTACTTAAGGGAAGAGAATTTATAATATTTTGGCCACTAAATACTATTTTGAAAATAAAAGGGTTTTGAGAGATGGCTCAGCAGTTAAGAGCAATTGCTTTTCTTTCAAAGGACTCAGGTTCTATTCCCAACAACACCTACTTGTGGTTCACAACTGCCTGTGATTCTAGTCACAGGATCTGATACCCTCTTCTGGTCACCATGGGCCCCAAGCACGCAAGTGATTCATGGACACCCATGCACGGGCATGCATAATACTTAAAAGTTAAAAAGGAGGAGGGGGAGAAAAGAATAATGAGTCAAAGATTTTTGAAATTGAGGATGATTTCTGATCTCCTAAATTGTATTGTCTCTATTATACCTATACTTTTAGATACAATTTTTAAGATGATAAGAACATATAGTTATATAGAATAAAACCCATGAACAGATACATTTTGTACACCACCTTCAGTTTTTCTTTTGGTAAAGAAAGAAAAATTCTGCCAGTTGACTACACTCTATGAACTTGACTCCTGGTTACCCATCTCACATCTATTTCCCATCTTAACTCCTACTCAGATACCCTGTGTATCATTGTAATTTCTTTTAGATACATTGATTTGTATCTCTGAACAGTGTACAGTATTAGTAGATAACATTTCAGAGGGAGTTTTTAATGTTCATAAATGATATGCATGTTTCTTAATTTGAAATTCATTTAATGTCCATTTTACTGTTTATATCTTAAGCTGTCTTAAAAATGTGCATCTTACATAGTCTATATTAGTATTCATTATTCTATGATAGAAACAGAATAAAGGACATATATCCTTTTGAGGCATATCACATGAATTTATTCTGGGCCTCTAGGTAGTGACATTGGAGAAGGATCTAATCAGACAGTGTAAGAATATGGAATACTGAAGCGATGACTGACCCTCCTTTGTGCTGTCCCCTAAGGCATATCTAAAAATTAGATATGCAGAGGGGATCGTCAACACTTCTATATCAAGGCAGCTCCCACAAAGCTCTAAACTTACTTTAACGTCTCATGTCTGTCTGGATGATGCTGAATCACTTTAGCCAAAGCGTCATACTCTGGAAGACACGAGAAAAGAGCTTTCTGAACCTGGATTATCAGGACAAAAGGTGTAAATGAAAAACATTCCCTTTCCTAGATAAAGAAAGAAATGACAATGATGAGCCAGGTATGGTGGCGCACGCCTTTGATGCCAGCTCTCGGTAGGTAGAAGACAGCAGATCTCTGTGAGTTCAAGGCCAGCCTGGTCTACAGAGCAAATTCCAGGACAGCCAGGTCTGCACAGAGAAACCCTGTCTCAAAAAGCAAAAAGGTGATGGAAAGTAGTGTACATGACTTAAAAGTGTTCCATACCGGGATTTTAGTTCTCACTTCTGGTTTTCCATTCATGTGACAAAATATTGGTTGGCAACAACATAAATGAAAGTTCATTAACTGTTTTATCATGGCCCTTACCAAATAGAAAAAACACTTGAAAATACAGTGGTTCTCAACCTGTGGCTCTTGACCCCTTTGAGGGTTGTATATCAGATATCTTGCATATCAGATATTTTTTACATTATGATTCATAATTAGAAAAATTATAGTTATGAATGGCAATGAAATAATTTTATGGTTAGGAGTTACCAAAAACACGAGGAACTATGTTAATTATGTTATTGTTGAGAACCACTAAGATCTAGTATCCACATCTAGTGAACAGCACTTCCCCGCATTGTAATGTTAAAAATTTCAGAAACTAAAGTAATTTAAAATTCAGGTCATTATTTCTACTCCACTGAAATCTCTACAGTAAGTTATGAAACTTCTAATAACCTTGACTATGAAATGATAAATTAATTTTAAAACTTACCAAAACAATGCACAAACATTTTAAATCACTTAGAATTGATATTATTTGTAAACTGGTATATTTGCTATAAATTACCCAGTGAAACTTCACCACATATCTAGATGCAAAAACCACTTCTTAAAAGGGGGAATTAAAAATGGAGAGATGACTCAGTGTTAAAAGCACTGCCTGCTCTTCCAAAGGACCTGGGTTCAATTCCCAGCACAGACATGGCAGCTCACAACTGTCTGTAACTCCAGTTCCAGGGGATTTGATGCTTTCATACACACATACCCACAGGAGAGGAAAAGGAAAAAAAAAGCCAATAAAATAAAAGCAAGTAGTGGTAGCACACATCATTCTTAGCACTTGGGGGCAGAGAATGGCAGATCTCTGAGTTTCAGGCAGGCCAGGGCTACACAGAGAAACCCTGTCTCAGGGGAAAAAAGTGGGGGGGGGGGATAGTGGTGATGGTGTTAAAATATTGACATGATTAGCTCACTAAAACATGCAACTCATTGTTTTGGGACACATCATATTAATTCAGCAAGGCTGATTTTATTTCAAATAATCTTTTTGCATTATAAAACAATATATTGCTGCCTCCACCTACGGAAGAAGCCCACCTTCCAGTGTCCTGCTCAGAGCCTCCTGAGGACTGGGGACTGCACAAGCATGCACAGGGTAACCTGTCCATGTCCCAGCAGACCAGCTCATCCAGAGTCTGCCAATGTCCTAGTCCCATCTCTAACCCACCAAAAGAGAGCGTTGGTCCTGTATCCACCTACAGGGAGAGACCCCATGGGTATGCACTGGAAGAAGGAATGGGTAGACGATAGTATAATACAGTCAACAACAGAAAGATCAATATGACACCCCCAGAGTCTAGAGACTCCACATCAACAAGACCTGAACATTCCTACACAGATGAAGCAGAAGAGAAAGACCCTAAAACCAACTTTATGACGATAAGAGAGACCTTCAAAGAGGTAATGAAATGGAAGGAAAAACAAAGGAATGGAAGAAAAAAACAAACAAAAAAATTTCAAGAAATGGAGGAAAGCAAACCAAAAATTACAAGAAACAATTCAAACAGTGCAAGGCTTGAAAGCTGAAAGAGATAAAACAAAACAACAACAAAAACACAGTCTAAGGGAATGCTGGAAACAGAAAAGCTAGGTAAGCAATCAGGAACTACAGATGCAAGCATAACAAACAGAATACAAGAGATGGAAGAGAGAATCTCAGGTCCTGGATAGTCTACCAACACTAAGAGACCATGGATGCCAGCCCAGACTACTATAGTCACTATATATAGAGAAACCATGATATTCCGTGACAAAACCAAATTTACACAATATGTACCTACAAATCCAGCCCCACAGAAAGTTCTGGAAGGAAAACTCCAATCCAAGGAAGTTAACTACAACCACAAACATAGGTAATAAATAATCCTACTTTACCAACAGTCAAAAGAAAAAAGGGGGTAAATACACACACAATACCTCCACCACCACCAAATCCAAAGCAAACAAGAATTAACAATCAATGGTCATTAATATCCCTCAATATTGATGGTCTTAACTCACCTATAAAAAGACACAGGCTAACAGAATGGATATAAAGACAGAATCTAAGATGGCTGAAAGACGCTTAAATGCTCAATATCTTTAGCCATCAGTGAAATGCAAATCAAAACAACTCTGAGATACCATCTTACTCTTGTCAGAATGGCTAAAATCAGAAACACCAAAGGCAGCTTATGCTGGAGAGGATGTGGAGGAAGGGAACACTCCTCTACTGCTGGTGGGAGTGCAAACTTGTACAGCCATTTTGGAGATCAGTATGGAGGTTCCTCAGAAAAATGAAAATCAGTCTACCACAAAATCCAGCAATTACACTCTTAGGCATATACCCAAAAGATGCACATTCATACAAGGACATCTGTTCAACTATGCTCATAGCAGAATTATTTGTAATAGCTAGAACTGGGAAACAACTTAGATGCCCCTCAACTGAAGAATGGAATACTTACTACTCAGCGGGGAAAAAAAAAACAATGGAATCTTGAAATTCGCAGGTAAATGGATGGAACTAGAAGAAACCATCCTGAGTGAGAGATATCCCAGTCACAAAAAGACAAACATGGTATGTACTCACTTATATATAGATTTTAGACATGGAACAAAGGATTACCAGCCTACAATCCACACTGCCAGAAGAGCTAGGAAACAAGGAGGACCCTAAGAGAGAATACATGGTCTCCCGGAGAAGGGGAAAGGGGCAAGATCTCCCAAGCAAATTAGAAGCATGTTGGAAGGGGAGAGGGAGTTAGGAGAAAGAGAAGGGGAGAGGTGGGCATGAGGGAACAGGAAGATTAAGGCAGGGAAAGAATAGAGGAGAACAAGAAAAGAGATACTATAATAGAGGGAGCCATTATAGGTTTAAAGAGAAATCTGGCACTAGGGAAATGTCCAGAGAGTTATAAGGATGACCTGACCTAACAATCTAAGCAATAGTGGAGAGGCTACCTTAAATGCCCTTCCCCAATTATGAGATCGATGACTACTTTATACGCCACCCTAGAGCCTTCATCCAGTAACTGATGTAAGCAGAAGCATATACACACAGCTAAACACTGAGCCAAACCCTTGGAATCCAGTTGCAGAGAAGGAGTGATGAGCAAAGGGGTCAAGACCAGGCTGGAGAAACACACAGAAACAGCTGACCTGAACAAGGGGGAGCTCATGGACCCCAGTCTGAGAGCGGGGAAACCAGGATAGGACCAACCCAGACCCCCTGAACATGGGTGTTAATTAGGAGGACTGGGCAGTCTATGGAGCCTCTGGTAGTGGATTAGTATTTATCTCTAGTACGAATGGACTTTTCAAACCCATTCCACGTAGAGGGATACTCTCTCAGCCTAGACACATGGGGAAGGCCTAGACCCTGCTCCAAATGACTTTGAAGATCCCCCGTGGAAGGCCTCACCCTCCCTGGCGAGCAGAAAAGGGATGACATGGGGGTTTTGGGGGAACAGGGAAGGAGGGGAGGGAGAGGGAACTGGGATTAACATATAAACTTGCTTCAAATTTAAATTTAAAAAAAAATATTTTCAATACAAAACAGAACAAAAATGAAGAATCTACACCAGAAAACTTTACCATCACCAAATAACTAACAACATTTTTATTTCCATTTAGTTTTTCACAATACTGTCATAGTTATGGCCACCAATTTATTTATTTATTTAAGCATTTGTGTGTTTAAAGTTAAGTTTCCACTAGATAGACCCAGAGTTACCTAGAATTTGTAAGCCTCTTGCCTTAGTGAAGTGATAGGATTTCAAGTATGTACAACCATGGAGAGTTTCAACATTGCTCTGTTCTTCTTTCAATTTATGAAATGGGAGGAGCAATGTTCCTGCTGTTAAAAATAATCTTTGAGACTGGAGAGATGGCTCAGCAGTTGAGTATATACTGCTGTTTCACAGAACTTAAATTCAGTTTCCAGCACTCATATGCAGCTCACAACTGCCTCAACTCCAAGGATGAGATGGCCACTCCTGGCCTCCAAGGGTACCTGTACTTATGTATACAGAGACACATGTAAACAAGTTAAAATTATTTTCAAATATTTTATGAACCAGATGAAGACAACCCTAACTTTAAAAGAGATTAGAATAAAACTAAACTTTATCTTTAAAATTACATGTATTTTATACGTGTGGGAGCTGTGTGGCACAATGAGACAGTTCTCTCATTCGACCTTGTGGGTCTTGGTGCCAAACTCAGGCTGTCATGATCACACTTGGTAACAAGTGCTTTTGCCCACTATGCCAACTTGCTAACCCCTACTCTTTAACTTTTCTATTAGGTAATTTTGTAGATAATGTTTGCTCTTTTCCATGTTTTAAAAGTAACTTCATTAAGTGGGCAAATAAACACCTCAGTCTGTCATACAGCTCACCTTTGTAGATTAACTGTAACACTGCTAAGGGGGAAGGATCTGAAGATAGGAAAAAGTCTAAGAAATACTTGGGTAACTAATAAAATTCAACAAAATTAAATCTTTTCCAGCATAACTTGCCTTCTTTATTTTAAGTAACAGAGTTTTAAGAATTAATATAATTGCTAGTTATTTTTTATAAACTGAGTAACATTACAGATTTTACATTTCACAATTAAAAACTTCATGGAAATTATAGTCGGGAATAAAATATCTCCACAAAGTCCTTCAAAGCATTCCTACCTTGTCGATTTTTTCGTATTCGTTTTGCTTGAAGAATTTGCTTTTTACACTCAGCAATTTTTTCATGCGCTCCCGCAATACTACATTCTATACAAAAAGGTAGTTTTAAAAAGGTAATTATAATGACATGTATAATCTGTGCTTTTAAACAGAAGTCCCACTGATAAGACACTGACATTCTACAACACAAGTGCTCCGTCTTATTACACAGCACTGTGTCAACCGACATTACCACTATAATTATGATACAGTTCTACAGCAATGCAGATATTATCAAACAGTTTTTTCTTCAAACCACAAACACAATTATACAAACATTGCTTACCTATTTCTTTGTATATTTTTTCATAATTCTCCATTTCTCTGAGATTCATATCATACACCAGCAAAGTCTTGCCCATTGAAAATTCACATTGGGACAGGGTACTCAGCATGCGCTGGTATTGGCTATATCTGTGAAAAAGAGGGAGAATAAAAAAATGTAAACTAATGGAAATCAAGTTCTGATAATTATTTGTTTTATATAAAATAGCTTAGAACACCCACTCTTACTACTTTCTTTGCTAGATATGGTGTAGACTGCTCTGGTTAGAAAGGCAAGGTGAGGCTACTGTTGTCATTAATACAGGCTCAGCCCAAGCAATCTGTCTGAATTATTTAAATCACCTGTAACAATATCTGATTAAGAGTTTTCTTCAGAATTCTGTTCTCACAACTTTCCTATTCTATACAATACAATCATTTAAGCAGAAAATAAATCCGTAAAAAATTTCATAAATTAATATGTAATCATTTTGCAGCAGCTTATATAAACTTATTAACATAAGAGAAATCTTCATTTAGAGATACTAATCAAATACTGATTTGTTAAAAGTAATCAAGTTATTAATTTAAATTCAAGGACAAGTTACTGGGGAAAAGGATTTCTATTTTTGTTTCCACAGAAAATGAAAAGATGTGGATTCCTTCCAGACTAATGTGGTTTGATCAAGCCAAATGTACCTGAAACAGAGTACCAGGTGATCCTACATTCAAAACAGCTCGACAAAGCAGCCCTACAGACTACAGCCAGGATATCTGAACCTTCTTCGAATCCCCCATGACAGCGCCCCTTACAGCAGGAAGTAGTTTGGAAAGAACGACGCCCAAATTCCCAAATATTGTCTATAAATGTTTGTTTTCATTTAAATGGACTTGGTTATATAAAATAAAAAAAAAGAAAAAAAAGTAATCAAGTTATTAAGCTTGAGTTCAATCTTATTTCTTTCTTCAGTACTGTGCTTTCTGCATGTTATACTGACACAAAGAAGGCCTCCAAAGAGAAGGTCAGGAGAAAGAATACTTTTGATCAATCAAGAAGTAGCTGAACTAGACAGAGAAGGTCAACAGAGCTGAATGGCCTGGCCCTGAGAAAACTCCCCCAGGACAGACACTGGTACAGAAACAGCATGGGGAAAATACCCCTCTTCTTGGGATCCAGAGTTACACCATTTGATGAAGCTTTTCACGAGGAGATTAATTCTCCGGTCATCACCAGCACCATCTCCATCAATCAGAAGACGCTTCCGTATGACTTCGTCTGCAGGAAAAATGGTAAGTGAAAATTAAATAAACATTTGGTTCTGGGTAATTTTCAAGACAACCAATACAACTACTCAGTCAAAAGAAAATTACTGAAATATAAGTATATTCAATGGCACTGGCTGAGTTGCCACTTAAAAGCAAGAAAGTAAAACTGGTAAATTTTATTTGTATCTTGCCACAATTAAAAATGTCTTTTTTTCCTCCCCTCAAAGAAAAGTGATTGTGTATAGTATGTCTGCCACTGTTCTAAGGGATGAGCTCACAAGTGAAACTCTGCCATCAGAATTGGCATTCTATGGGGTTGTTGAGAGTACATTTTCAGGTACAACGGAAAATCTAAGCCAATAATTGTTAGGAGAACTAGTTTTGAAAAAACCTGTTCAAACCAAGGGGAGCCAGGCCCGCACACATCTCTAGCTAAGTGAGAGGCACTAACAGAAGAACAGAGAGATAGAGAAAGAATGACAGGTCAGAGAAAAAGGGAAAACTTCAGGAAGTAATATAACTTGTTGGCCTGGAATTCACTATGCAGCCTCTGCCTTCCACATGATGGGTGACAGGTGAGAGCCACTATATCTGACTTCCATGTCTTATTTTTGGCCCAGAGCAAAGAGAAAACAGAAAACAAAAGTAATGCAAATGATGACTAGAACAAATGGGGTCCAAAGCAGCTTGTTGGGCAGTTCTGAGCTAGAGTTCTTTGTGTTTCTCTGTGGTTTTGGAGGCTGTCCTGGAACTAGCTCTTGTAGACCAGGCTGGTCTCAAACTCACAGAGATCCACCTACCTCTGCCTCTAGAGTGCTGGGATTAAAGGCGTGTGCCACCACCGCCCGGCTTCTGAGGTAGAGTTCTTACCTGAACCAAATAATGCTGGGCCATAATCAGAAAGACAAACGGAAATGGGAAAAAAAAAATCATTCCATCTACCAGATCATAACATGGTAACGAAAACTGTTGACAAGATGTTCAGAAACTGTACTTACACACACAGTTAAAACATGCAGGGATACAGATATAATCAACGATGCTTGAAATGACACAGCGTTTGCCCATGCAACACAGATTTTTCCCCCCTTTTGGGTTTTGAGATAGGATCACTCTACACAGCTGGGTAGCTTATTCTGAAACTATGTGGCACACACTGGAGTTACAGGTGTGTATGACCATGCACAACAGATGTAAAGAGATTACTTTAGCAGTATTGCTTGTAGTACTGCAAACCCACAACAACCTCTTTAGATAATTAAAGTAACTTCAGAGAAGCAGAGTATGCTGCTACCCAATGTGTAAGGAACTGTTAAAAAAAAAAAAAAGTTGTGCACATATGCAGAAAATATCTCTGGACGGATTAGCAACATTAATGATTGTTTCTGAAAAGGAGACTACAGAGATGAAAATGATTTTCTTAGATAACATTTTATCATTTTTCGTTTGTTTTCTGGGCTTTCATTTCCTTTTTGACTAAATATATTATATTTTGAATACAAATTTAAAGTATGAATAATTTCTGGAGAGCCTGCATGAATCAACAGCAAAGTCTTTGCCAACAGCTCTTGTGTGTGGGCACAGTGTTTGTAAGCACAGGTGATGTGGGTATGAGCCCGTGTGGGACACCCTTAGACAGACACTGTTAGAATGGGTTCCTTTGAAAGGTGGTTCAAGATACAAATTCAAAGTAGTAATGTTTTCAAACTTTAATCACCAAACAATGTTATTTGAAGAGACCCAGATAAATAAAAGACAGCCCAAGCGTTAAGACATTGAAAGGCCTGGAAGCGGTGGTGGTGAACGCCTTTAATGAGGTACTCTAATTTGGAAACATGTAAGCCAAGTAAACCAAATCAACAGCCCCAACCAGCCTGACTTCCTCCTTAGCCCAGGCTGCCCTCAGAGTATGTACTTTAACCTAGCCCGGAACACACAATTCTGCTTCGCCTCCTAATTGCTGTTATGAGTGTGTGAGGCACCTTGAGAGACTTCAAGATCTTTTTTTTTTTTTTTTTTTTTCCTTTTTTTTATTCTTTTTTTGAGTTGTCTTGGCTGCCCTGGAACTCATTTGGCTGCCTTTGAACTCACAGAGATCACTCAACCTCTGCCTCTGCAGTGATGGGATTAAAGGTGTGATGTCAAGCCCAACCTGACATCAGTATTTTAAAATTTGGTTTGTGATGCCTACAGAGGCCTTCTGAAAACCACTGCCTCTATTAACACTAACAGACTTATTTTCACTGTCATAGCAACAAGTACTTGTCCAAAAGGTGTGAGCAAAATTTGTGCACAAGTAAGTTCTGAGGAGAGGAAGCCTTTCACTCAGTACACAACAGCAGCCACATACTCAGTTCATACACTGAGACAGCTGTGGTGGTTAAAAGAGAACACATTACACGAGATGACAGTCAGATGAAGTGGGATTTGAGAGGTTATTAGTTTATCTCAAAATTTCAACCAGGTTTTATTCAGCAGTATCAGATATAGCTGAATTAAGCAATATGACATCATTTATACAGCATAACATTTTAATAATAAGTGAAAAATACCCCAAATGTCTGTAAGTGGGTGAACAAGTTAAATAAATTTTGATATATGAACACGATAAAGCCGGGTGGTGGCAGCACACGCCTTTAATCCACTGTAGCAGCACCCGGGAGGCAGAGGCAGGCAGAGGCAGGCAGATCTATATAGTGAGTTCTGGGATAGGCTGCAAAGCAATACAGAGAAACCCTGTCTCGAAAATGAAAGAAAGAAACATGATGGAGTATTATCAAGCTGGAAACAAAGAATGAGGAAATACTTTTGATACAGAGATACATTAATACATTAAGACGAAGAATGTATATTTAGTTATGCTTTCATTAAATAAAAATGGAGGGAGAAGTATATTTATATATGCTTGCATTTGCATAGATAACTTGGAATGCTATAAAAGAACAAATAAATGGGGTTATCAAAAAAAAAAAAAGGTTAGTGGAGGACAGGTTAGATGATGGAGAAGAGATTAGTTTGATTTGAATACCAGGAGAGTATTCAAAATCTGAGTTTTTCTGTTATACAAGAAAGAATGCTAAAGTTTTCCCATTTCATGCCTCACCAGCATGTAGAAAGCTGTGTGTGAGCTCTAGCAGAGTTGGGGGAAGAGACACAGTAGTACCCCAGAAGACCAGATGAGGGAGGACAATGCTGCCCAACAATACAAATGGTAGTTTATAGGCTGCATTGTGATGCTATCTGTTGGTAGGCAATTGAGCTTACTGAAGGTGCATGAGCAGAACTATCTGACAGGAGAGAGCTGAAGACTGTACTGGCAAAAGCCCACAAGCAACAATGCTAGTCAGGAGGCTGTCGAGCCACATGCAGTTAGCAGCTTCACGGCCTAACAGAGGAAGAGTCACAGGTTCCATAAGGCAGGTTAGGACTCAGCAGGTGGGCACGAATGGGAGGAACTAGCCTGGCATTGCAGAGGCCTCTCATCCAGGCAGTCTCTGACCCTCCTTGCATTTCAACCCTATTACTCTTTATGCACATTTTGTACAAAACTCTGGGCCAGAAATCAAAACTTGGAGACAATGGTTTTGGTTGTGTACCCAAAGTTTGTGTATGAGCACATGCGATCAACTTGTAAATTTCATCTGCAAAGAATGAAACTATTCAGTTTGTAGGACTATTGAGAACTATCTTGAAAACAGAAAGTGAAAGAAAATAATGCCTGTCCATACAAAAAATGCCCAAACACACCAAACACATTATCCTTTTCTTTATGCTAAATTTTAACCCACAACTTGCAACAACCTAAAAACATTACACAGTAAATGAAGATACTTAGCTAGGTATACAGCTAAGTATCTACATAGATACTATGTATTCAAAATTTTGGCCAGTTATGATTGCCTGTCTCAAACTTACAGCAAGGTCACAGCACTCCTTTCTTAAATGTTTTATGGACAGTTACTGCCTAGAAAACTAGACAAGCATTACTGCCATAACGTGCACCTTGTAGAGTATACGGTAACAACAAAGAGCAAGCCAAATTGCCAGTGTGAGAATAGCTGCTCTTCTCTTTAGTTCCAACACACCTGGCATGAGCATTTTTATTTTTAGCAACACCTCATCATTTAGGTCATACTGAACATACCTAAAACTTTTATTTATTTATTTGTTTGTTTGTTTGTTTTTGGAGACAGGGTTTCTCTGTGAGTAGTTCTGGCTGGCAAAGCCACTCTGGTCACTCTGTAGACCAGGCTGGCCTCAAACTCAGAGATCCACCTGCCTCTGCTTCCAGAGTGCTGGGATTAAAGAAAGGTGTTTGCAACCACCTCCAGGCTCCTACAACACTTTTAACTTCCTAAATTACCATGAAGCTTTCTATAAATGATCTGGTTGCTTGTACTAATCCCACCAGGCCTTGGGGCCATGCTATAAAAACAAATATGCAAAAGCAGCTTAGAAACTATTTAATTGATAATAACTTGATGAGAAAGTATGATCATATAAAGATAATGTTTACATAAATTCCTATTAGATTTATCACTACATTACCACCACTCATGGGTTATTAAGATCAATTACATAAGCCCATTTGTTGCATTCCTCATGTGAGAACTCCTGTCCCCACCCTTCATGAAGTTTAAAATCATTAGGATGATTTTTAAGGTCAATAATAATTAAGAATATAAATAAGAAGCAGAATAAACAAGGTAGTTTGACTCTTCCATGTAAATGCTGCTCTCATCTGAGATATTTATGTCCTGTTTAAACAAACTCTTGATAGTAAAACCAAAATTAAGTTAAAAAATTTTAAGCCAGACATGTCCACAATCCCAGTATTTAGCAAGCTAAAGCAGGAGGATTGTGCAAATGCATAATTTAAGGATAAAACTTCAATTTTGTTTTGAAAAGCTATCTTAGCTAAAGAGAAATTATTTAATAAATGAGCTAGTCCAGAGCCAATGCAGCAAATGGGAGGAAACGTGCTGGCACTGGTGAACAGCCATGCTTCACACTGGGTCACTTGAAGTGAGTGCCACAGCAAACACTTCCACAGTGTTTACTCCCATTTGTCTCCTCTCACTGAGAAGTGTACTGGCTTAGCTAATAAATAGCCACTCCATTTCAGAGTGCTTACATGAGTTATTACACTGTATCCTTGAAATGACCCTGTAAAGTCTGTGCTGTTATTGTCCATTTACAGATGACAGGTGTCATCTTTGCCTTCATCAGAAAATATATACAGTTACATTATCATATAGGTCCATTATTCTGTCATAGTGTTTGAGCATGTTAAAATCATTTTAAATTTACTATGTATATGTCTATGAAAGCTGTCAAAGCCAAACAGCTCTATTGAGTGCAATGCAGAACCACATCTTCCTCATCTTCTCACTTCCCATCTGTTGCTCTAGATATCAACATATCTCCGAACTAGTTCTCTGTACTACAAAAGGGTTCTAACCCAATTTAACACACTTTTAAATTATCACCTACAACATAAGCTGTTAGAATAATTTAAATTAGCAGTGACACAACTGGTTTTCAGTTGGCCAAACTTAGAAGTGGCTTTGCCAGAAATAAGCTACCCAACTAAGTCACTGACTCATCAGGACCTGCTTACAATCCCCCACTTGTTCATCTATACACGACAGTGCTTGGGGTGTAGCTTAGCTCAATGGCAGAGTGCTTGCATAGCATGCAACACACAGACACACACACACCCTTCCAGCAGTCTCCCTTCTAATTTCCTTCTATACATCTCTTATTTGTTGATTACTTACTTAATACTTTCTTCAGTTCAGTTTTCTTCCCCCATAACAAGATAGGAAAGGGTAATCAGGGCAGATACAGTTCTCCACAGGGGTGTGGAAAAGAGGCTAGTAAAATAACTTCTGTTTTTAGGAAGACTTCCTGAACATTAGCATGTGTTTGATTCAGTACAATGTCCTTTACTTCCAAAACAGCACTCTAGAGGGAGATTTTATTAATATCTTAATTTACAGAGAACAAAACAGAGCCTCAAAGAAGCTAGGTAACCTCCACAAGGCCAGAAGCTGGTAGTTGTCAAGTGGGGATTCCTGTGGCCTCTAAGGATTAGGGAGCTGCAATTGGTTAAGTCTGTAACTCACCATTCCTTCCCTTCTCTCTCCTGACAAATCCATCACTCATCTGGAGCAAGGCACAAAAATCACACAAGTGAGAAACACAAAATCATCTTTGACATTCCAGCACAAATGGCCAGTCCCAACATTCTGCACGAGCTCTATTCTTTTCCTGTATTCCCATAGTTGGAGTGCTGGCCTGATTATCTTTCACTAGCACTGCTGTAGCAGGATCTGAGTGCAGTACAAACTAGCCAGTCAGAGAGCTACCTCAGCAGTTAAGAGCACTGGCTGTTCTTCAGGGAGTATGGGTTCAAATCCCAGCACTCTTCTGGACTTTACAGGCACCAGACACATGTGGTACACAAGCACAAAACACACACACACACACACACACACACACACACACACACACAAACACGATGTGGCTTGATTTTTTTTTTAAGCCCAGGTTCTGGAACTTACTACCACTGCAACTCTGGACAAGTTATTTAATTTCTTTGGGTATCAGTTTTATTTATAAAATAGGGATAATCAGAACACTGTCCCACACGTGTTACAAGTACTATATAAATGTTAGTGAAGGGGAGAATGATTTCAGCACCTCCCTTCAAATTCCTTAATATTCTCCACACAGTAGAATGGGTGTGTGCACTTTAAATGCAAATCTGGGGTTAAGGATGAAGACCAGGATGAGGATATAAAACAGTTATGAATAGAAGCATGGGGTCTGCCCTCTGCATTGCAAATAAACACTTCAATTAATTAAATAAAAGCAGATCTGATCATGTCACACATCAGGTGGCCTGATGTGGAGGCAAGTACCTTTATTTAGTCTTACACTTAGGAGGCAGAAGCTGGGGGCAGGGGGAATCTCTGTGAGTTCCAGGACAGCCTGATCTACATAGTATGTTATAGAACAACCAAGGATACATACCTTGTTTCAAAAAAAAAAAAAAAAAAATTCAAACCCCAAACTAAACCAAATTAAAAAACAAACAAAACCCTTCCAATGGCTTTCCCTGACCTTAAAAAGTCATGGTGCTTAACTTTGTCTAAGTTCTAGCTAATTAGTACCTGACACATTTAATTCAGCATTTTGGGACTTGTACAAATGGTAGGTCACTTGTAATTCCAGTCCTAACACATCTATTTATCCTTCAAAGAAATGGGAGTGAGAAGGAAGTCTTTTCAAGTTTTCTAATCACCAGTAGAAACGGATCAACAACAACCTCAGTTCAATCCATAGGATCCACAAGCAAAGAAGTGACTTCAGCAAGTTGTCCACTGCCTGCCTGGGGTACAGGTTTGAGAGGGAGAGCTGCAGACAGAGACAGAGGCAGCCTAGAGGCGCAAGCTCAAGCACACACACAATAAACATACCTTCATCCCCACACCATCCCACCCCAATTATTTAACATTTACAGTCACTCCAAACTGCAAACATATGAGAACAAACGGCTTTGCCTGTTGGTTTGGGGATGCAAACTATAAGTAAAGCATTGTCTGGAAGTAAGATAAATACCTACTGAATAAACGAAACTGGGATAAAATAAAGTTAAAATTCCTCTATCCCTACCTAGACATTTCCTCGAACAGTCCTCAAATTTGGGTCTTTCGCTGTTCTCATCTGCTGGATGTCAGTCCACCAGCACGCATAGATAGCTACTGGTCACCCTCTCAATTATAGCCCCAAGCTGCAGAAACCTTTCTACCAAAGTCCGTACCGAAGCAAGTTCTTGCTCCAGTGGCCACCGCACCTGTCCATACCTCCCGGACAAGTCCACAGACGACAAATGTCCACAATCCATCACCTCCAATTCTCCCGGGCCTACAAACCTCCCTCCCTAGCATGCCCTCCTTCAGTTGTGGCGGTCTAAGCCGCCGGGGCGCTTTACCCTGTAAATCGCCCAGATACACTTCCCGACCGGCCCTCCAGACGCCCCTAGTCCTTTTGGAGGCTGTCCCCGGCTCGGTGTCCTCGCTCCACCGCACTCCGAGCTCCAGAGCCCCCGGGGGCCCGCCGCACGGCCCGCCGGCCCGCCCCAGCCGGGCCCGGGAAGCCCCCCAGGCGGCCCCGTCGGCGCGCTGCATCTCTCGGGCTCCCCGGGCTGGGCGCCCGGCCCTCCGCCGCCCCGGGAGCCCCGGGATCCCCCACCCCGGGCGGCCGGGATCCCGGCGCTGCCCCGCGTCCCCGCGCCCCGCGGCGGCCTCACCGTCAGTCACGGCTCCCATGGCGTGCGCGGCGGCGGCGGCGGCGGCGGCGGCGCGAGCTGAGGCGGCGGTTGGCGGCGGAGGTCAAACTCCCACAATGCAGCCGGGTAAACAGTCATGGAGGAGGAGGCGGCGGCGCCCGCGGCCGCCCTCTCCCACTCCTGAGTCGCGCCGCGCCGCCGCCGCCGCCGCGGGAGCCGCGCTGCCCGCGCTCGCTGCTCTCCCGGGGCGCGGAGCGGCCGGCGGGTGAAGGGCGAGGCGGGCGGCCGGCGGCGGCTCGGCCCGCGCACCCCGTCGTCCCGCACGGCCCGCGCCACAGGCCGCCCTGGAGGCCGCGGGCAGCCGCCAGGTGAGCTCCGGGCTGCGCGCGCTCGGGGGGGCTCCGCGCCCGCCGCTCCGGGTGACCGCCGCCCCCCGCGGCCGCCGGGTTCCGCTCGCTCGCTCCGTGGAATGGGGCCGCGGCGACTGTCGCCAAGTTGGCGCCCACGCGCGCCGCCGAGGGTCTCGAACCCGGGTCCCCGAGGAGGACACGGCAAGCGATCCTCCCTTCCTGAGCTCTTGGCAGGTGCCGGGGAAGTGGGGGAAAGAAACTTGGCGACCTTTGTGAGGACTTTGCTCAGGGCCAGGAGCCTAGACCCTGAGGTCCTCGCCCCTCACCCGGTTCTCCCCACGGTGCCGGAATCCAGATAGGGTGCCCTCAATTTCATATTATCTTTGCTTTTCAAAAAATGCCTCTTAAAGGGAAGTTGAGAGTACAAGGTGTTGGGGGAGGTGGCGCTGCTCATTGAAAGACGTTGCTTGGGGTGTAGAATACATATTTCCGGAGCACAGTGCAGATTATATTGTCATCTCCTCTGAAAAATCACTGAGTGGTGAGAGACAAGCCCTGGTATGGTTGGTTTGACCTCCAACGGGAGAGCGTTACACCCAGAAGTGTGCTCGACTTTGGAACCCACGTTTTCTTTTCCAGTGTTTGTGATTCCCAAGTCCCTTGCATCTTCAGATCCTGCATAAAACAATTGTGTGGAGGTCGGTTTGGTTGTTCAGACTTCTTTTCTGAACTGGGGTCGGTGCATCTGCCCTGAGTCCTCTCAGGTCTTTAGCAGAAAACTTGGAACCAGTCAGTGTCTGATAGTGAAGTGTTTTTTGTCTCTTGGCAGAACTATATGTGAAATACATCACTGACTTTTGTTACTTCATTATCTTGAATGAAGATTTTTCAGGCATAACTAACCTCTTCTAAATGCTGAAGTTTCGGTCCCTGACTTTTTGAAAGAGTATTGGCTAAAGGCTGATCAAAACTTGGACTTTGGACCTGTTCACTTCCTTTATGTAAGAGGAAGGGTAATAGTAATTTTAAATTCAGGGCGGTTGTAGCCATGCCTTTAATCCCATCTGGGCTGGCAGATCTGTGAGTTGATGACAGTGTGGGTCTAATTGTAAAGTTTTTGGCCAGCCAGGGCTGCATAGGAGATTTCTTGTTTAAAAGGAAGCTGTCAAGTAGTGAAAGGAAGCTTTTAAAGAGCATTTCTTGATCTTATCAGCATCTTGCTGACTTAAATGGTATCTAGTGATGTCAAATAGTTGCTAATGTTTTCATAACAAAATTGCACTGCCCTCTGTGATTTACACTTCCATGAGACACTGTCAAGTTTTCACAGATGAGACATGGCCACCTTCATAAATTTATCTGATCGCTTACAATTCTTGTTAATCAGGGCTACAAACTTTTTAAAGTAATAAAACCATAAGTAACGCTTGAAAATAAACATTTCTGAACATTCTTGGCTCAGGTGATGGGAGACCCAGTGGTAGAAATGTCTGAGCCTTTTGAAGTCTCTGGAGTTTTCTTCAAACCCATCTAATTTAATTCATTATTGCATTGACAAGAATCTATGAGTTGAACATCTGATAATTTCTTTTATTATATGATATACATTGGGAGAACATCTTGCAGTGAATTTTAGAAATGATCTTTTTAATGTTAAAGTAGGCTGGACCCATGCTCATGTTTCTTCTTTTCTTTTTGTAAGGGAAATCTTGAGAGGCAGAAACTCAGAACTGGGAAATAATGTTTTAAGCGTCCACAAAGCTGACTTGAACTTGTAGAGCACAGTTTTAATAGTTTACTTCAGTTATTAGTTGCTTTTTTTTATTTTTTTTTTTTTTGTGAGAACATGAGATATCAGTCAAGGAAATTAGTGTATTTATTGAATATTTGCCTTTTGGAAATGTAAAACTGATGCGAGAACCAGTGGTTTGGTCTGTGCCCTTGGTTTCTGTTTCTGCGATAAGCACAGGACCACCAGCCTTGGAGTGGTACTACACACAGTGTGGTAGGTCCTCCTGCATCAGTCAGAAAACACACCATAGACTTGCCCACAGGCTGGTCGCTTGTAGGCATTTTCTCAATCAGGTTCCTTCTTCCCAAGGTTTGTGTCAAGTTGTCAAAAACAATCAGCATACTGGGTTTGGGGGGCGGGGGGAGTAGGCATTACTCATTTGCTTTTAGCTCTAGTTATTTGGCCTGTAGACCTTTAGGGGTCTACAAGTATCAACCTGTAGTGATCTTGCCTATAACGGTGGCCACACCCCTTTGGGCATGGCTTCAGGCAGCCAGAAGTGAAAAGAGGGAAGCACAAGGTGGAAGGCTGACCTGGAACTCACAGAGATCCATCTGCTTCTGCCACCATGCACTTACTGGTAGTTCCTCGTTCATGGGGAGTGATTGCAATCCCCCATCCCCATCACGATTTTTTTTTAGACTTGTTCATTTTATTTTACCTGTGTTTTGCCTACATGTATGTTTGCATACTACCACCACATGTGTGCTTGGTGCCTGTGGAGGTGAATAGAGGCCATTGGATACCCTGGAACTGGAGTTACAGATGGTTGTGAGCAACCATATGGATACTGGGAATTGAACCCAGGTCCTTTGCAAGAGCAATAAGTAAGTGCTCTTAACTGCTAAGCCCTGTAATTGTGACTCATACTTTTTTGTTTTATGTATATTTTCTGCAAATAAGATATAAAGTTATAAAAGAGATCTAGTATTAAAAATAGATACTTTTTTTTACTAAATAAAACAGTTATTAAAGTATTTTATTTAATATTCATGTGTGCATATGTTTTGATCAAATCCATGCCCCTCCTCTCCAACCTCCTCTTCTTTCCTCCAACTTCATATACACTCTCTTAATATTTACTTATTTTTACTGCAAGTTTTAGGTGTTTTGCCTGCATGTATGCCTGATGCCCATTGAGGCTAGAAGAGGTTTTCAGATCCTCTGGGACTGGAGTTACAGGTGTTTATGGGGTTCCATGTGGGTCTTTTGGAAAAGCAGCCATTGCTTTAATGCACCGAGCCATCTCTCTAGCCCTCCACCCTCTCTCTTTTAAATTAGCATGGTTCATTTGGTTCTTCCTGTATGTACATAGGTGTGGGACTCTTTACTGAGCATGGGTAGCCTCTCAGGGCTCCATCTCTGAAGAAAACCCACTTCCTGTCCTAGCAGCTATCAATGGCCAATAGTTCCTCACCTAGAGGTGGGACTATAAACTCCTAGTTCATCCATCTGGGGATTTCAGTGGGCTTGATCTTGTACATTTACTCACTCTGTCTCTTTCAGTCTTTTCACACAACAGCCTTTTTTGTTCCTTGTTCCCTACGCCTTGGGGTGGGGGACCGGTATAAGTTTACCATTTAGACATCAGAGCATTTGCACATTGACTGGTTTTAGGTCAACATCTACTGTAAAAAGAAGCTTCTCTTTTGAGTGTTGAGATACTCAAATCTGTGAGTGTAAAGCTAAGAACATAAGGGTGTTTATTACTATGTTTATTTAGCAGGGTAAAAGTATTATGTTCTCTTCTAGAGCCTTTCCCCTAGAAGCTACATGTATTTTGGAATAGGCTTTAAATCCAGTCAAAAGTGCCTTGGCTGCTCTCATAATGTTCATGTCACCTTTGTACCAGTAGGTGATTTTGTCAGGGCAGTTGTAGATCTTATGGCTGGGTAAGACTGTTGATGCTTTTTCTCCCCATGTAATATATATACAGCCTTCTAATACCATGGAAACTGGCCATCGGGGATTCATTTTCCAGGTTATTACCAGCTCTATTTTTCTATGTTCTATGTGTCAGGTATGTAGTGTCTTCAGCAACACAGTCTTACCATCAACTTCTGAAGAATGACCAAAAGCAATGGTAATAGCCTGTAATTTTGGGGATCGAGTTTATAGAAACTCATGGACCAATATCTCAGAAAAGGGAAACTCATTTCTGGCTCTGGATTTTTTCTTTGATACCCTGGGATATTTGAGCTTGTTGTCCCCTCCCATTCCCCTTGCCAATTATGGGTGACTCCCTGTAAACCCCCTTTGCATGTATGTATTTTAGGGAATCTCTACAAAGGTCTCAGGATTATCCTTCCCTCTTTTACCCTGGCTTCCCCTGTCCCATACCAGTTAGTCTTTCCTTTTCCATTAATCCCCTTTCTCCCTTAATACCACCATTGTTCTAGTCCCCCTTCCTTGAAACCTTGCACCTTTCATGTTCGAATACTATTTCCTGCCTTTTGTGGGTACTCCAGTTTAAATACATATATGTAAAGATATGTGGCATTTGTCTTTCCCAGTCTGGGCTACCTCACTCAAAATAATTAGTTCTAGTTTCACCTATTTATCTGCAAAGTCCAAAAATTCAATTATCTTTATAGCTGAATAGAATTCCATTTGTAGATATACTACATTTTCATTGCCCATTCATCGACTGCTGGACACCTAGGCTGTTTCTACTTTGTTGCTATTGTGTGTAGAGAAGCAGTGAGCGTGTCTGAGTTCTCTGGAGTAGGATATGGAGTCCCAGAGTAGTACAGCTGGACCACATGGTAAATTTGTTTCTGGCTTTTTGAGGTGCTACCACACTGACTTCCATAGTGGCTGCAGGTTTGCAGCCCCAGCAGTAGTGTTACCCTTTTCCGACATCCATGGAAAACGGTCATTTTTAAGACCAAAACCAAAAACTTGGATCATTTTGTTTGGTCCTTTCAGAAGCTGTCTTTGGTCTAATTGTGTGGTGGTCAAGATGCAAAGACACTTCTGTTTTGTTCCATGGCAAAGCTTTGGCACTTAGTTGGTAAGTCGTGTACACACACACACAAGGCAAGCCAGCCTGACGTGCTAATTCTGGCTTCACTGTGACTGGCTTTATCATATCTAAAGGTTTATACAGGTAAACTGCGATTGAATAAGCAGAATTGAGCTTGACACTAGCTTTTAAAATAAACGGTTCATTAAACTCTTTTTCTCTGTAGCAATTTTGTAATTTGCCTGGGAGATAATGATGCTG